AATTGCGCCGTCAGGGTATATGACACTGACCACACCATATGATGTTTGTATGAATAGGCCGCACGCGCGTGAACCAATAAGAAGAGCCAAAGCGGACAAAGACAGCTTGTCCTTAAATACAATGCCACCCACCGACAACGGTATTTTGCTGCCCACGAAGAGAACTAACTGCCCACACAGAGGACAAGCTGCAAACTTAACTACTGCTGCCTACGGGGAACCTGATACATTGAGGCAGACGCGCGGAAGCTGACGTACACACTGATACTTCTGCAGTAAAGTCTTCTCTACTATTCTGTTTATCTTCGCTCCCTAATATACAACTAGGGGACATAACGGAAACTGTCTGGTCAAACGTAGGCCTCATGTTGTGTTAACTGTGGCGTCTACTGTGAAGAAATTGTATATTTTTTTAATGTTCAAAACAGATGTGGCAAATTTGTAAGTAGTTGCGGAATCATCTAGTATATTTGGTGTATGTCGATTATCCGAAATTGTGCTCCAAAGAACAGACAAAACGCACTTTTCTCACTACGAATTTCATTTATTAGTCCTAAAATACGCAAAGGTATTGAGAATTATTGTCAAAAGACAACTGTTTCACGTTCAGCTTTCTCATGTTGATGACCTTTTATCACAACTTTTGGCAGCAAGTTTAGGCATTTTGTCAACAGCAGCATTTACATTTTTACCAAAATCGACATAAGCCGACGTACTGATGTTGTCAACTAACGACAGTAAATGTCCGACGTTACGACCGATTGAATCCTTCGGTCCTATAGGTCTGCAAGGAAGTGGCAAGCTGAACGGACTTAGCCACCAGATTTTCGAGAATATCCTTTTTGCTAGGTGAGGCTGACTTTTAGGCCGCAATTAACGTCTGGTTTGTGAACCTTTGGCGGGCTATAGAATCGAGCCAGTACAGTACATGTTTGTTTCATTAGGTTTTTGTTCATTCTCAGTGATCAATTTTTGAACTTTTAACTCTCCAAGTAATTTATTCGGCCAACTTGCTACCGGTTTGGCTTCTAAGTTCTGGATGAAGGATTAAATCGGGTGAAATGGTGGTTTGCTTTAACATGACATCTTTATTCATATCCATCCCCTGGGTTTAGCGCCGGATATCTTGCACGGGAAACTTCAGGAGCTGTACAGCAAAACCCACAATTCGGCGAAATGTGTATACCTCAGGACGCTGCTTGGATTCTGCCAAAGATCATACTTTACATATGCAGGATTAACTTCTGAACAGCGCGAGGAACTCCGATGGGCTCTTTAATCTACGGTCTACTAGTAGAATTACCCTTTAAATAGCCGGAAAAAGTTGCAACCACATAAGAGACCCCGACCTTTTGGCACTGTTACGTTAACGACATTTTTGTCATCTTCAAAATGAACAGGTTGCAGAATTCACATTATGGTGTTAGTTCGATCCTCCCAGACATATACTTCATGATGAAGGAAGAAATAAATAGGTATTTATCTAAAGTGAACTACAAATTGTTCATGTAATAATTTTTTGCAGGACATTTTTCATAGATCGCAGCCAAATTTGCTAACTAAAATCAAAAGTATATTCCCCGGTAAGTTTTGTCATACTGATTTCTTCTTTAAATTGTAAACAAGTGTGTCATCCTACGACACAACGGTATTTACAGGGTTTTATTAAATGCCATGGTCTAGGCATGGGTATGGTCTCTACGAACAAAAACAGAATACGTTCGTGACATGCGACGCATAAGATGGTTGTCTCGTTTGGTTGTACACGAATTCAGTTCGCACTGCTTATATCAGCAGTTATCGGTCAGATAGTGTCCTTCTAAATATTGCCAGTCATTGCTAACGACCACCGCAGCAGCATGAATGCTTTTAGATTGTGTTTTCACATATAGTTAAACTGAGAATGAGTAACCTTGGCGTCAGCTTTTTAAAAGTGACAAGGATAAGGAACAAGATGTTGTGGGAGATCAGTGCGGTACGCCGAATGCCTCTCCCTCAAACTTTGTGATGCGCTAGTTGATTTATGCTACTACCAACATTTAAACCCAATTCGTAGCGCATGCATTGCTTACATAAGTAACAGGGCTTATCACAACTGTCGTGTCAGATATTTTTTTGCATATTTTTTTGGATTTTATTTGACCTCATCAGGAGTAAATGGAGCCTTTTCACGTCCATAAATTCACTCTTCAACGTTTTATTATTAGCTTATTCCAGAAAAGTGCATTTGTCCCAACACTGCTGATTAAAAAATATAAAAAATATAGCACTCTATATACGCACTTTTACAGACGTAGTTGAAAGTGTGACGTATGGGCGTTTTGCTGATTGAAAAGTGTACTACAAGACCGTGCACTGAACGCTGGGACATCCATACCCACGGCACTTTACCATCCCATTGCCCTATAGACATACTGATAAACGAAAATAGGTAAAACGCAAGCCATTGTTTTCTGAAAATTGCACTCTAATGTTTATTTGTTCTGGGAAAAAGACGTCATTATGGAGATTTACCAACATGTGTTTAGGTCTAGAAGAGGTTATATGCCAGTAACTATCAGACTTCACGTACGCCAATCTCTGACTGTTGAGTATGGAGATGACAGTGACATTCTCATATGCGGATGCCCTAAGCTAGCAGTAACCCCACCGAAGCCGTGTTATTAGGGTGTTTTATGGTTTTATATGCACAGGCACACGGTCCGAAACTTTAAGCTACTCCTGTTTGAAATAAAATGAATTTTCTCCTTCAGCACCCGATGTGAATCCAACTGCCCTCTTCCCACACCTATGGTAAAAAACATTATCACCTAGCCAACCGAAGTTTGACTTTCGCCTTGCGGCCGAGCGAGCCCATCGGAAATCGAATTAACAATAATATAATGAAAACGAAGGTTCAGTATAATGTAAAACTATATTTTACTAGAGTCAAACTAACATGCGGTTGGTATTAACCTTGATGAGGTTTATTGCATTGGTAATAATACAGCTAAACTAACTAAAGCACTGTTGTGCATTCCGTAGGCTCATGTGTGAATGCTTGGTCAAATAAATAGCTGTGGCTTGCCATTTCGTTTGGGTTGAGGTGTTGACGTAAGTGCCTCAGTAGTGTGCTACCTTGCGACCAACCTAGCATATTTTTCATCAATTTCGGTTTTCTCTTGTTTGTTTGAGACATTCGTTATAAATTTGGTCACTTTGTGCATCACTCGGCGTCCTCGATGCAAAACTAGAGTGCAGTTGACCTTTCAATCAGATAAATTGCTGGACCCCCTCTTAGCTGTGATGTCAAAAAAAGGCCCGCATCCTCCTACAAAACCACTGCCCTATTCTCCATCTCTCGAAATCGCCAACACACGTCCTAAGATCGCCAATAGTACCTAGCGTCACATGCTGCCATTTCTGTACACAAAAAGGATCCTTCTTCAACTTCCGTTACTTAATGAAAGTTGGCTTTAGGGTAATGGCGGTCGAAGAGGACCAACTATTCAGGCGCAGCCTCGTTACTCAAACTCTGTCGTCGATTTATTTGGGCTTAGCAGCCGGACAAAACATGGTGACGCTCGGCAAAGATGCAATTATAGTCCCAACTAACCAAAGTGTTGTGTGGAACTGCTGCGGAAATGTTTGCTTGTCAAAGCGAAACGGTATTTGCATCCTCTAAATCCCGTAATGTTCGTTTTAAAGTGAAAAATCACAATATCTCGTGTGGTGCCACTAAAAACGCATTCAAGTTCAGAACAAAGCCGAGAACACCGCTCAGCTTAGATGATCAAAGTGGCCGACTAACCATCTACCAAAATTGATGCTGCGGCAACGAGCTTTCGGAAAGTATAATGTCGCAGAAGTTCACTTACCAGTACTCATCGCATTGACTTTTCTATACATCGGCACATGGTTCGGACCTTGGAGACCTTATTGTCTGCATTAAAAGGATTCTTCTGTTTCAGTACCCGATTTCAGAGTATGTGCTCTATTCGACCACCTATGGTAAAGAAATCAGCCCCCAGCCAATTCGCGGTTGACCTTCGTCTTACGGCCAGGCAAACCCATCGAAAATATGATTGAGGTTGGTGTAATCAAAACATACGTTGGGTAATAATCTAAACGATAATTTACTACAGCAAAACTAACAAAGGCATTGCTACGTACCCCAACGGGAGTTCTGCCTTATCAGAGCGCTAATGGAAAATAATGTCGATAAAAAGGGAAACTATTCAGGCGCTGTCACGTTACCCAACTTATTTTTTCGTTTTACTTCAACGGAGCAGCAGAATAAATATTGGAGTTGCGTAGCACAGATGCAAAGACAAAGGTGTTGTGTGGAACGGCTACCGAACGGCCAACGGCAGTCACAAATGAAGTGCAGGTGGTTGGCACAACTTAAAGGTCTTTAGATACGCAACATCCCGGAAATGCTTGTTTTAAAGAGAAATGTCCTTACCTTCTTGCGCAATGCCGCTAAAAAGCATTTGCCTACTGGACACAACCGAGATCAAATTCCTCAGTATAAAAAACTTATCAGAGGGTACAACGCGGTCGGGTAATTGACTATCCACATTAATACCACATCCACTTAATGCTATAAATAACCTTCTCAAATAAGTATTTATCAATTCTCATCGTTTCGATTATTCTATGCACAAGCGCACGGTCCGGATCCTGTAGCGTTCCCTGTTTGCACCAGAATGACCATTCTCCTTGATATACCAGATTTTGGATTTGGAGCTCTTCTAATGCACCCATGGTACGAACATCATCCCCCGCCAACTCGAGTTTGATGTTAGTCTTACAACCCGCCAAACCCATCGGAAATGCAGTTGACAATTGTAAAACGCGAATAAAAGTCTGCTACTACACAAAACTACATTTTACTAAAGCTAAACTAACAAGTATTTGGTATGCATGCCAATGTGCGAGTATTGCATCACCAATATTATATCTAAACTAAATAAAGCATTGTTAGGCACACCAACGGGTTTTTTTGCATTAGCAGGTTGCTAACGGAGGAAGGTAAGAATGGCTAGATTGGCCACAATGACCACAGATGAGCCTGACATCCAGGCTGCCGTGGAGGTTGTGCTGCCTGGGGAGTCTGTTGTGGCCTTGATTGGTTTGAATTTGACTTGAAGACTGTTGGTATCACTAGCTTCAATAAGCTTAATGACCTTCGGCGCCGAGTCAGCTTTGGCCGTCACGATCACATGGGTGAAATCTACAAGATGGAATGAGTTATACGGCAAATGTTATCTTTTGAATCGCATACAGGGAACTGAGAGCAGTCAAGGCAACATACATGGATGCTAAAGTCTAGCTTACCTTCCGTTTTCTTAAAGCAGTCCACAACTGTGTCTGCTGGACAGGTCGGGGCTGTAGGTGTTACGTTCTGTTTTCCGTCTGTGTCCGGATTAATAACCATTGTCTAAATGGAAGTAAAGAGGTAGGTAACTTCGATAGTAACGTAAATAGAAAAGTAATCTGCGGCGAACAACACCAAAATATACTTTGAATTTGTGAAAACCGTTGTAACATTTCAAATTATGTGAAAGAGGAAACCGTTGGCTTACAGTTGGCACGAAGTCGAGTTCAATACCCTCCTTTACAAAAGCGGTGGGTGGATTGAGTTGGCCCTTGGTACTGTCTGCTGGTATTTCGAATATTTCACTTTTTGCGTGCCGGCTGTAAACTGCACTGTTTTGCTTGTGCCCTTGTTTGCGACCGCAAATGTCACCAGATACGTCACTGAAATGCACGCATAAGGTAGTGACTGTTAGTTGACAATAAAACGCATTAAGAACATGCAAAAGTGTTTACCGAATAGCATTATATGTTTCGTGAATACTGTTTGTACGGAACTTACGTTTATTTTTATAGCAATTTTCGACAGTATTCCCGCCGCACTATTTCATTTGCCCACCATCGATTTGGTATGTCTAATATTCAA